TGGAAGCAGCTCAAAGTTCCGTTTAAATTCAGCTTTAATGTACTATCACATCATGATGATCATGACTTTAATATTGTATAGTGTAATAAATGTTATGTGGCCTTGTTACCTTGACTACCCAGCGTTTGTTGTTTGTTACACACATTTGTTAAGAGAATATAAATAATACTATCTTACTATCTCGGTCTGGTTACAGTTGTATTGAGCTACATGACACACACCAGTTCATGCTTGTTATTCGAATAATCATCCCCTCCTCACGATAATGATGATCGAGATTATTACCAATATTACCGATTGCCTTTGTTATGTAACAAATAACAGGATGTGTAGCAAAGTTGGTCATCATCAGGTCGGTTTGTAACGAGGTGCTACTGTCATCTCTCCTCTCTTCTACTGCTCTTCCCGTCTCTTTTCGTCGCTTCTACTGCTCGTCTACTGCTCTTCTACTGCTCTTCTACTGCTCTTCCCGTCTCTTTTCGTCGCTTCTACTGCTCTTCTACTGCTCTTCTACTGCTCTTCTATTGCTCTTCTGCTGCTCTTCTCGTCTCTTCTATAACTCGCCATCTCTCCTTACTCATCTCTTGTGATTTCTCTAAATCTTTCTCGCTCTTCGTCTGGGTAATGGGTATTCTGCAGTACCTTTCTCTCTCTATACCAACCTCGAACTACCCAGGATCTCTAACATGACTCTTCTTTAGCTTTGTCTCCCCCTTGTAAATGACGCCCTAGACTTTGTACACACACATGTGACAAAGGTCCTACTCTGAGAAGCCCCCCTTTGTAAACAATAGAGGAGATCATTTGGGTACTATACAGTGTGTTTAATGGTCTAAGAACCACCTTTCATAATAAGTTGTGTACTAAACACGCCAGGATTAACGATTACGGATTATCTCGTCTAAACCAGGGTCATGACCAGGGCCCTAGTAATCACAACCTTTCTCTCTCTCTCTCTCTCTCTCTCTCTCTCTCTCTCTCTCTCTCTCTCTCTCTCTCTCTCTCTCTCTCTCTCTCTCTCTCTCTCTCTCTCTCTTTCTCTCTCTCTATCTCTCTCTCTCTCTCTCTCTCTCTCTCTCTCTCTCTCTCTCTCTCTCTCTCTCTCTCTCTCGCTCTCTCTCTCTCTCTCTCTCTCTCTCTCTCTCTCTCTCTCTCTCTCTCTCTCTCTCTCTCTCTCTCTCTCTCTCTCTCTCTCTCTCTCTCTCTCTCTCTCTCTCTCTCTCTCTCTCTCTCTCTCTCTCTCTCTCTCTCTCCCTCTCTTTCTCAGAGCTGTGATTAGCCTTGTTGTGAGGCTGTCTACTCCGCTGATCCAGTTGTTGTGTTACAGTTGTGTTATAGTTGTGTGTTAGGTCTTGTGGTGGTTGTGTTCGTTAATTTCGTGTAAACCTCAACTTGTGTTCGGCAGCAAATAAGCCTCTAATATTTACACCTTACTGATTACGGCTGCAAGTTTTGCTTTCGTTTTGATCTGAGGTCGACCGGGAATGCATGCAATCATAAATAGCATTGTGAAATAGTTATTTTAGTTTTTCTAGTTAAAAGTCACGTCATTAACATGATAGTGAAGTCTGTTGCACCGTTCTCCTCTTACGGTGCCGTATTTATGTGCAACCGTTTAACTTATGTTGGTAACATCGAGTTACAAAGCCATATGAATTGACGTTGAACCAGGTTAATGTACTGTATTTACTTATTTAACTTATATCACGTGGCACATGTAGCAGCAATTCTGGGAAATTGGGGCAGTCTGGCTTGCAGGCAGCACAGCATATGTACATTAAATAGTTCCTGTTGATCGTTTTGAATCATTATGGGAAAAACAGGAGATTAGATCGATTAGCAGTTTTTAATATTTTAGGTTTTGGCAATAAAATCAGTTATCAACTATACTGGTATTACCTATCAGTTACCAAAAATAATCTCCATCTGTAGCCCAAATTCTACAAAGTTGCAACTGAATATAATATATTCCTTTCTAGACACAATCATGTTGCTACCTAACAGTTGTTGTGATAGTTGCAGGAAACTAATTTTCGTATATTGACATCACGTTTACAAACATTTAACAAGTAAAGTGCCGTATCTTTCTCCCTAACACTTGCAGCTTTCTACTTTCTACCGACTTACCATGTCTTCCCAATTCACACTTTTTCTCCATTTTGACTCGTATCTTTGACTTCGTTTTGTTTTATACGTTTAGTAAGGATAAAAGTAAAGGAGTTGATTATGTGACGCTGTTTGGGACTTAAGGAAGAGGGATGGCTAAAAGTGTGTCCAACTCATCCCTTGCCAGATTTGGCGGGAACACTAATCGTGTCCAGTGAGTAGACAGTCCTTCTAATAAGCTGCTGTTAATTTGCTCAGATTTCGCTCATTATTCAATTGTTTTGGACCCTTGTCTAGTTGTCCTGTCAGAAATTCTATTTTATTCAAATCACGTTTTATGTGATCCATCATAGAAAGGTTTATGGTTTTAAGAACCTTGGATGCTGGAAATTTAGTAGTTTCAGGGTACTAAAATCTCGTACATTAACTGGAAACCCTGGAAAACTCATGTGAAGTAGGAAACTCCTAAGGTTAGGCAGTATATGTTTATAAATCTACAGTTTTACTTTGTGAGTTTGCGTTTTAAAATATATTCATGGAGCTGTTTCAAAAGCGCAGGGCCACATGAATGTTGAACAAAATTTTACAATTTCGTTAAATTACGTTTTAGTTCCCCTTCACATGGTAAGCCGATGATATTTTCCACAGATTCATTATTTGTCGGTAATTATTTATATATATATATACGGTGATCAAATTACATGTGGTAATGTTTGAATCATGTTTCAATCATGGCTGAATCAATATTTATAGCATCAGCTGAACATGATTTCCATTTCCATCCCAAGCGAAGCGCCACATCTGAAGCTAATTTAATAAAAATTAGCGAGCAAAGAATCATCCCACTCAATAAATATACGGCAGATTATCCCGAAAATTAAAAAGTTCGTTACACAAATTAAATTCAAAATAGCAGATTTCATTTTTAGCTGCTCAATTAATGTTTCCTGCGTGTGATGCCGATCTTGCTTGTTTGCCTTGTTTAAGCGCGTTAACCTCGAACTTGGCTGCGGTTTGAACCTCCGGAAATCAGCCTGAAGTTGAATTTAACTGTAACTTTGATTCTGTGACGTAAACTATTTGATCGTTTAATGAGGACCTGAGAGTGAACCATGGTTATAACCCGCAATTTAGCCCAGTAAGTGGAACGTTTACTTATAAAGGCACAGGAATATATTCATAAATATAACCAGTGACCAGTGACCTCTCAAACAACCAATAATGAGACATTTATGCGTTTCAGGGGTTTATTAAGCAATCATGCTATGTGTTTGCAAGGATTACCATACATAATTAATAACTGTACTGTTTACCTCCACCTTTGTTATAAACAACATGTTTATTACATTTTAATATATAAACAACATGTTTATATATTAACATGTTATAAACAACAGTACTTCATTAAAAAATATATAATCGCTTTCGGAAACTTGGGAAACTTGGGGACAATGAAATTATGCCAGCTCCGCCAACCCTCATAATACAAATTTAGCAGCAGCACTTTTAAGAGCCCTTCTTCCCCGCTGCAATGATACACAATTAGTACTGTCCTGTTAAAATTTGTTGCCTTTGTTCTATAGACCTGGAAGTTCTAACTCTCAGACATTTCATTATAAATTGGTCTATGTGGCCTCTCATTATGCTTATCGCATTAAACTTTTAGCTGGCATTTGTACTTTAATAATACTAGTTCCAGACGTATAGTATATTAATACCATTTCTACTTTTCTGCTAATTCCAGACATTTTGTACTGGTATTCGTTTGTTTTCTGTATTCACTTTTAACCTTTTATTGACGAACCTCCCTCAAGAGAGAAAGTCTGCAAGCTCTTCTACAGTGATATACTGTGATTGACAGCCCGCTCCAGATCTCCACTTCTGTCACTGAAACAGGGAGTTAACACTACTCTTATTGAGTTGCTATCTTGGAAGATAGATAGTAGTTGCTATCTTGGGTAGCAACTACTCTGGAACTACAACATGGCTATGAGAGCTTCTATATGCTACTCGCCCGACTCCTATAGCGCTGATGTTAGGAGCCAACTGCAGTAAGCCAAACTTAATTATTTATTATTCTAACCTGGGTAGGGAACAAATTTAAGCAAACTTTAGTCTTGATAGTTTATTCATTTTGTCCATTTATTCCTCAAATTTTGGTAAAATGGGAGTTTTTAGCACTATGATATCATCAAACATTTCTTTCTGTTAAAAATGTGATACCACTTACTCGAAAGCAAATGTTTCAAATTCATGCCATCTTGGACAACACAAGATACGAATTCAGCAAGTCATCTGTAATTGGTGAACAAAGATAAAAACTGTTGAAAGAGTTGAAAAGATCCCAGATTAGTGATAATTCCCACTATTCTCGACTTTTCTAGAAGAAGACCTCACCCCTAAACGTGGTTTACAATATAACACAGACTATCTTCATTTCATCACTCCATCAGTGTCATAATGAACAAATCTGACTGCTAATATTTCACATATCTTTGTATAATTGTGCGTCAAAAACCTCTCTAAATGATGTCGAGCAAAGACATTAATTTTCAAGACAAACCGACGAATGAAAAAGAAGAGAAAAGAATGCTATAATGCTATTTTCCCTCAACAACATCGCTGAAGAAGAAAAGGAACGGATACCATATTCCTTCAATTATACACCAACTATTTTCCTTCCATTACAAAAACACTGAACCAATAACGACGGTGACTAATGATAATCTGGAGTCAATGTATCATTTAATCTGACTACGTATTTTATATTGTATCCCCGCAATTATCCCTGTTTAGCTGGTTTTGTTGCTAAGCGTGTCTTATTGTGTGTCACTTTTGTCACATCACAGGAGATATGGCCGTCTGCTTGTGCTGGTGCGGTGTACGGTAATCTTTATTGCTTTGTCAAGTTTTTCCTCTCTCACCATTCTCACGTTTATAAGCGATATATTGAAACTTGGTACACGCCTCTATCTTTGCTTTGTCACCCCTTCGTCTTTGTTTTTTCTTTGGTTTGTACTCCATATTGGGAGGTTTAAAGGCCACAGTTGAAGATGGCACTAAGAACGACCAGCACCATGAATATGGGTCTGGGGAAGGGAATGAGGGTGCGTCCTCATTTTCCACGAATGCATACTCTCAAAAGGTGGGCAAACCACGTCATACTTTAATTTGCTCTAATGTAACTCATAATTTCCTCCAATTGACTGAAACCTTCCCATCAAACCAACATAAAGGATCTGTTAGTGATAAGTATGTATGCTAAAAGGTATGCTGAAAGTGGGAGGTATGCTAGATGTCCCTGCTGGAAGGTATGCTGAAAGTGGGAGGTATGCTAGATGTCCCTGCTGGAAGGTATGCTGAAAGTGGGAGGTATGCTAGATGTCCCTGCTGGAAGGTATGCTGAAAGTGGGAGGTATGCTAGATGTCCCTGCTGGAAGGTATGCTGAAAGTGGGAGGTATGCTAGATGTCCCTGCTGGAAGGTATGCTGAAAGTGGGAGGTATGCTAGATGTCCCTGCTGGAAGGTATGCTGAAAGTGGGAGGTATGCTAGATGTCCCTGCTGGAAGGTGAAAGTGGAGGGTATCATGCTAGGAGGTGTATAAACCTGCAGCTCAATAAAGCTAAATAACCAAGGTGTCAGAGTATATATGGTGCCCGTCTCGCAGCTTTAACAGCATCCTATCATGACCTGCATTCTTCTCTCGTTCTCGTCATAACTTCCTCGTTTAACTCAAACTCTAGCAGCAGCAGCGTAGGATTCCTTTTTCTTGCCAATAAGTGTTTCCAGCTGCAGCGTGATTGATTTGTTGTCACATACTGGTGATTGTGTGTGTCAAGGTTTATATTGTTGATGATGTTCAGGTTTAGTTCCCCCATAAACCTGCTGTATTTCCGATATCAACTCAGCTTCTGACACCCAGATAATTGGCTTGGTGACAACCCTGATGACACATAAATTAGTAATCCTCACCTCGTCATGTGAGGAGAGCCGGTACTTACGACTAAATTACCCGGCAATTGTGGCCTTGTATTCCCTATATTCAAGTTTAAATTCAGAAGACTGCCCGGTTAGTACAATCCTACCCCCTCAATAGCCCAAGCAATTAGGTTTTTCTCAAGTTTAAACTGTTCAACAAAATTTCCGGTATATTTTTGTCCATGCAGGTACTTTTGTACACTTTTCATAAACGCAGTACTGCAGTTGCTACTACAGATTCAGCTGTGCGTGTTCGAATAAAATATACACTCACCTTGCCGGATTGTTAGAACCCCTGTTACGTTTATTTGAATTGTTTGAGGAGTATTGTTTGCGGAGTAATAAAACTGCTTGCGGAGTAAGGAAACTGCTTGCGGAGTAAGAAAATTGCTTGCAGAGTAAGAAAATTGCTTGCGGAGTAAGGAAACTGCTTGCGGAGTGAGGAAATTGCTCGTGAAAGATGAGAAGATTAGCTGTTGCTCCTGATTTTAGACCCACATACCATAGCAGCACTCCAAGTCCAAGGTAAATGCATGCACTCTCCTCAAACATTCATCTGTCAGAGATAATGCAGATTGCAGATGTAGTCTAAAGGGAGGGTTGTAGCCCCGCGGGATCCCTTCTCATTAATAACCATCATTCTGAGAGCACTGGCAGCCTGGCTGCGGACAGTTAATTTTAGAATTTTTATCAACCCTATACATAACATTATAGCAGGTAACAGACTATTGATAGCCAAGCAATAGCCAACGTTATTAGCCACTTAAAGCGAGTGTTTACTCGTTATAAATATAACTCATTTCTCCCCCCATTTCTCCTCTCAATACGGCCCCACCCACCTCTCTCCCCACAGAAATAGATTACCCTGATAGCATTCATACGCAGTAAACTTGCTACTGCTTTTGTCTAGCCACACAAGTTGCCGGATGCCGGGTGACTATGCCATTTTCTTATTAATAGTAATCCTCCTCCTCCTCATCATCATCCGAACGCTAGGTGGGTACTGAGACTGATTATTCAGATATTGTTATGCTGCATTATTAATGACACATATCCTGATAATAATGGTGTGATCCAGGTTGTCAGCTACCATGAGGTAGACTGACAGGTTACCAGTGTAATCAGGCACGTGGTCAGGCACGTGGGCAACTCCTGCCTGCCAATTTCTGACGGGTTTGTGTGATGACCAATGGGTTTCAGGTAGTCCTGACAGGTTGGGGGATACTTGCTACATACAACATTGATAGTATTTCTGCTGACTTCACGTGTAGGACCTGGTGGTGATCAATGATCATGCGTATCTTGAATCTTGATATTGATCACCTTAATCACCTTGATCACCTTGATAGATGATAAGGATTAATCAGACGTCTGCTTCATGTCCCCCTGTCTCGACAGACGTCTGTAGTATCTAGTGTGTCGCCTCCCTCAGCTGGCTCTTATAAATACTCCGGTCTTGTTAGGTGCTCTACCCGGAACATCATTAGCTAAATGTTTCCGTTATTTTTCCGACGAGTTGGGATTTTCATTTTTATTTTCAATCTAACCTAGAACGTCCGCTATATGTTATAGTCGATTATGATGTGCAATTAATTGTGGATTAAGGGACTAGCATAGCCTGCTGAGCAATTAATTACGAAATAACAATGGGTGTTGCAATTAATTGTGAAATAATACAATATACATGTTGTTTAGCAATTATATATGAAATAATACAGGTTTTTAAGCAATTAATTTGAAACACGGATATTTAACACAGTATTGAACAGTTGACTATGAAATAATACACGTAGCTCAAAACAATTACCGACTTACCAAATGAAAATAGCGCTGCTTTCCTAAATTAAGCTATTTCTGGTGCACCATGTTTGATCTTGCTCGACGAGTCCAGGGTGGACCGGTACTTACGCAATTTCCAAACTTAAACTGTACCACTTCCTCTTCTATTGCTGGCTAAGCGTTGCTCTGTGTTGACCTTCCTCTCGAATGTTGACCTTTCTCTTGAGTGTTGACCTTTCTCTCGAATGTTGACCTTTCTCTAGTGTTGTTGACCTTTCTTTCTAGTGTTGTTGACCTTTCTCTTTCAATGTTTTTGACCTTTCTCCTGAATGTTGACATATCTCTTGAGTGTTGACCAGTTGACTGTAAAGACAAAATGTCAGATTTTGAAGGCCTGACGTTGAGTCTTATGTCCAACCACGATTAGAATCTGACTACACCTGGTTAGCCAGTGTAAGCATACTTACGGTTGTAGCCCTCAACTCGTAGCCAGAGCGAGGCTTTGGTGACGTCATTAAGGTCACGATGTTGTGCCACTCATTACTGGTGCATGTGGCACATTCCAGTAGTTTTGTTATCGACCACCGACTAAGTGGTAAAATCCCGTTACACAAGGTCTCCTAGTTCCGTGAAGAGGGATAAAGTTCAGGTAGAGGAGAAGAAGTTCCATTCAGGGAATGTCTGGTAGACTCGACCTAAGGAGGATCTTGTGGATGTTTCCATCAACAGTAATGTGACTAGAATCTCAGGTCTTAGTTTGAGAAGCCGTCTTGGTGAGCTCTAGTGTCTGGCTCCAACCCCAAGTGGTGAGGGCGGCAAGAGCCGCGCGAAGAGAAGTGAGCGGAGAACCACCAGTCTGATTTTGAGGCCTGTACTTTATAAATATTCCTGACGTTCCTGTCGACATTAATAAGTTGCTAATGAGATCACCGTTACCTTGATTAGCTCAAATGTGCAAGATCGTTAATCATTGGTGGTGTCTTCGAGTTCTAATGAACTTCAAGCCGTATCGATACTAGACGGCTTTTAATCCAGTCGCTGAGTCGCTTATCTAGATTGCCTTTTAACCACGAAAATCTTATCCATGGGATCTGCAACCGAGCTATTTAAGGGGGGGGGGGGGGGGGGGGGGGGACAATGGATATTTTTTTGTGAAAGTTGATTTCGAGATAGCAGTTGACCAACAAACTAGGACCAGTGACCGAACTTTTGAGGGGTCCCGGACCCCAACCGCCAAACGGTGCCCGCGGGGCAGCCACGCCCATATTTGGTCCAAATTAGGCCCAATTTAGCCAAATACCCTGAACATGCCCAAAACCCAGATTTTAGGTGCTCTACTTGTAGCTAGTGGTCTCCTGAACTCGTAGATGAAATTTCATCAAGATTGGACAAAAAATGACTGAGTTATGGGCCAAAAACCATATGCCCATATTTGGGCATACGCACCAAATTTGGTAGATTTCGTCCCATAAATTGGGCAAATATCAATATTTTTGAATGAAACTTACTTTATAAGAAAGGTAAGCCTAAACTACATATTCTCTGTAAGTTATAGCTTTGTATTTGTTTAAATGTTGATACTAAGGCGAAAAAACCACAAAAAATGAACTAAATTGCCCGTATCTTGGTTCGCGATATTCGCGGAATTGATCTCATTAAAATTGTAACAACTCAATCAGTTTTCAAAATTTTTGCATGACATTTTCGGAATCGACTCGAAATCGCATTTCCACCTTATTTTAAGAACAAATGTTTGATTTAGGCCTCCAAAAAAATTTGGCGGCCAAATTCCAAAATTTTCCCGGAAAAATTCAGAATTTGGCCGCCAAATTTTTTTGGAGGCCTAAATCAAAAATCTGTTCTTAAAATAAGGTGGAAATGCGATTTCGAGTCGATTCCGAAAATGTCATGCAAAAATTTTGAAAACTGATTGAGTTGTTACAATTTTAATGAGATCAATTCCGCGAATATCGCGAACCAAGATACGGGCAATTTAGTTCATTTTTTGTGGTTTTTTCGCCTTAGTATCCACATTTAAACAAATATAAAGCTATAACTTACAGAGAATATGTAGTTTAGGCTTACCTTTGTTATAAAGTAAGTTTCATTCAAAAATATTTATATTTGCTCAATTTATGGGACGAAATCTACCAAATTTGGTACGTATGCCCAAATATGGGCATATGGTTTTTGGCCCATAACTCAGTCATTTTTTGTCCAATCTTGATGAAATTTCATATACGAGTTCAGGAGACCACTAGCTACAAGAAGAGCACCTAAAATCTGGGGTTTGGGCATGTTCAGGGTATTTGGCTAAATTGGGCCTAATTTGGACCAAATATGGGTGTGGCTGCCCCGCGGGCACCGTTTGGCGGTTGGGGTCCGGG